GCCACCCGCCCGGCCTGACCCAGCCCAGCTCGCACCCGCCAGCTCCCCCAGGCCTGGCGCCCACAGAGCGAGGGCCACGCTCCCTCCAGCCCTGCCCACCTTGCAGACCAGGCGGACTTCACACTCCTCAGTGACATCCCAGTGCAGGTACTCGGCAAAGTGGGGGCCTAGGGGGGTAGCAAAGTGAAAAGGAATCATTTTACATAATAACACATGTGTATACACATGTATGCCTATGCATGTATGTGTGCACATGTGTATTGTGCATCTGAAATCAATAAAAACATATTTTAAAATAAAACAACATGGAATCCCTGCTGACAGGTTTCCTTCGCAAACCACGGAGACCAGGCTGCAAGCCGGGAGACAGGCAGGGCCCGCGGGCACCTGAGAGCCCGTTCTGCCGGCTCCCGGGGCCGGAGGGGGCAGCGCACCTTGGGGAGGGGCAGCTCGCAGACGCCCCGCTCCAGGTCCGGCGGGCTCTCCGTCTCGTACAGGGCGTCGTCCTTCAGCCACCGGAACACCGTCTCCTTCTTGGTGTTCGCGACCTGGGAGACAGAGCCGGGTTCGGGGGTGACCCCCGCTCACAGGGCAAAGGCTCTGCTGGGGCAGCACAGGCCTCAACAGGAACCGCGCTCATCACACTCAGACGGAGGCACGTGCGGAGGCTGCAGTCCGGCCCGCTGTGTGCCCGGGGCCAGCATCGGCCCGGGCCCCCGAAGGTCTGGGTTCGATTCCCAGGCAAGGGCATGTACCTGGTCAGGGTGCGTGCAGGAGGCAGCAGTGGACGTGTGCCTCTCTCACATGGTTTATCAATGTCTGTCTCTCTCTCTCTCTCTCTCTCTCTCTCTCTCTCTCTCTCCCCTCCCTCCCTCCCCTCTCTCTAAAAATCAAGGGAAATACCCCGCAGTGAGGAATATCCACAAGGCCGTGGGTCCGAAGGTGGCAAATGCATCCCCCAGGCCCGGCTTCGAAAGCGTGAAGCCCCGCCCTGGCCAGGCTGGCCCCCTGCTCGAGCCCCGGGTGAGACGGCCTCCGGGCGAACACGATGTCGGTGACGCAGATGAGCCGCACGCAGCACGTACTAAATGGTTAACCGCGTGGAACCTTCTCCCAGGTCCGGGGCCCTGGCTGGGCAGCGACATCCCGGACGCAGCACCAGCCCTGCCCACCTTGCAGACCAGGCGGACTTCACACTCCTCAGTGACATCCCAGTGCAGGTACTCGGCAAAGTGGGGGCCTAGGGGGGTAGCAAAGTGAAAAGGAATCATTTTACATAATAACACATGTGTATACACATGTATGCCTATGCATGTATGTGTGCACATGTGTATTGTGCAAGTGAGTGTACATATGTGCACTCCATTGTGTGACCACGTGGGGTATATGTGTGCATGTATTTCGTGTGTGTGAAGATGTGTGGTATGTGTGTTGTGTGTGTAAACATGTGTGGGTGTGTGCATGTTTGTGATGTGTATGCATGTGTGTGTGTATACGTGTGTGCATTTCAGGCAGAGGAAGCAGCTGCTCAGTGTGAATCGGGAAAACCCGTTTCTGGGCTCGAAACGGACATGTGTGTACGGTCCGCTCACTCTCCCGCCGCCACCTGCCGCCTCTGCTCTTCAGAAGGAGGTGGCGTCCTCCTTCCTTCCCGGGCGCAGACGCTTTAGAGCGGGGGGTGCACAGAGGGGAGGGGAGGACACGCAGCCCGGCCAGCAGCACTCACACACATGCTACTCTGAATCCAACGTGGATTTATCTGTCTTTTAAAATATCGTGTTTATTTACAAGAAACTTAGAAGTAATTCATACCCTCATAGCAATGCCATCAGCCCATTCAACACAAACACACAAGGCAGATGCAGAAAGCATGTACTGAATTCTTTCAATAAATATATCCTACACAGTGAAAACGTTCATAAAGTAGAAATGGGTAAAATAAACTATTTTTTACTATTAAAAATAACTAAAAACAAACTTTAAAAAGCCTTGATGTTATCTATTATAATCCACATTCTAATGTTGTTCAAAAGGCACAGGAATCCCACATAAAACCCCATTAAAATATTAAACCCTTGGGTTATTTTTCAGATTCTAAAATTTATCCATTTTACTTTGTAACTAGTAAGCGTGCACTTTTAAAAACAATACGTTTAACGTGTACTGTTAGCAGTTAAAACACTGAAAAGTTAAAACATTCCCCTGATTTTAAGTAAGTAAAACAGCCAGTTCCTGGGAAAAGGGCAAAGAGCAGAAAAGTGCCCAAGTGTCTAGAGCTGAGACATGTGAGTCCTGGCCGCTGAGTCCGCACCGAGCCACGGGGCCTCGCGGGGTCGGCCGAACTAAACACTCCAACCCTAACCCTCGGTTTTGGTGCCGCTTGTGGGCGAGCGGCCGGCACATACCTTGTTTCCTGAGAAATTCTTTCCTCTGAAATTCAGCCTCGTCCAGGACAGCCTTGAACGCTACATTCACACGGAGGGAGAAGGACATGAGATGCGTTTTCCTGCCAGCAGAAGGGCTTTGAACCCTCCCACGGGTGCGCTCGGCCTACCGTCCCCGATGAGCACCCACTGTCCCCGATGAGCACCCACCGTCCCCGATGAGCACCCACCATCCCCAATGAGCACCCACCGTCCCCAATGAGCACCCACTGTCCCCGATGAGCACCCACTGTCCCTGATGAGCACCCACCGTCCCCAATGAGCACCCACTGTCCCCGATGAGCACCCACCATCCCCGATGAGCACCCACCGTCCCCGATGAGCACCAGGGAGGACTGGTTCTTGGCCTTCCCGTCGTGGATCTGCACCGTGTAGGTGCCCTCGTTCTCCACCGTGAACTGGTCCATCACCATCTCGATGATGCCGGTTGACTTGTCGCACTTGATTTTGTGCGTCTGGAAGCCGCCAAGAAAACAGAACCCACAGTGAGAGTCCCGTCCCACAGCTCACGGCTCCGATTGGGATACACGAAAACACAAGGAAGTGGATCCACAAAACCCACTGGTGAACCAGACGTCAAACAACGGACACAGATGTGCGTTCGGGGAAAACCCTGTCCTGTGTGTATTGGCGGGTGAGGGAGGGCAGCCAGCAGACATGCACCCCCGGACACACACCAAACCTGAGACCATTGAACGCGTGGGGTAGAGAACACAGACACATATGCAGCCACAACACAGCCACCCTCACAACAATGTCCTCCTCCCCCAGGACCCTGAGCACTCACATACACACACGTACACACACACATACACTCACACATATATACACACACATACACACTCACATGTACACATGCACACACATGCACACACTACATGTACCTGCACATACACACAGAGAAGCATGCACGCACAAATTCACACTCATGTAGACACATGTGCATGAGCACACAGGCACGCAGTTGCACACAGGCACACGCTCACGTACACCCGTGCTCACATGTACACGTGTGCACGCACATACACTCACACATATATACACATACACGTATGTGTGCACTCACATACACAGGCACATGTACACTCACACACATACACGCACGCACACACAGGCACACATGCACACTCACACACGCGCTCACCGGGCTGTCGGAGACTTCCCGGTCGTTGATCACGAACCGGAAGCTGGCGTCGGGGGACAGCTGCTCGGCCTGCAGCCAGAAGCGCACCTGGCCGTGCTCGAACACCTCGTAGGCCAGCTCGGATTTGAGCGGGACGGCTGCGGGAGGAGGCCGGCAGTCAGCGCCCCGTGCGGGGAGCGCTCACAGGAAGGTCCTGCTCTGAGCCCCCCAGCAGTGAGCCCCACCCCCGGGGTGAGGGGACCGTGCACCCAGAAACAAAGGTCCAGCTCTAGGCAGCCCCGCTCGGACCCTGCGGGTGGGCATGCGTGAGGGCAGCCTTCTCAGCGCCCCCTGACCTCCAGGGTGCACTCGCTCTGCATCCTGTGGGATTCAGCCACGGAGGCTCCCCTCAGCCCAGAAGCCACCCTGAACCCCAAATTCAAAGCTCTCGCAGTGCCATGAACATTTCTACCAGCTACAGTCAGAGCTGCATTGGTTGTGAGTGAGCAGGTGGCCGGCCTGCGGGCTGAGAGGAAAGGGGCCCTGACCACACAAAGCCGGGCGCACCCCACCCCAC